AGAAGAAAATACACCAAGACTGTACAAACAAAACAAATTTGCAAGATGTGCAGCCGCACAGGTGCAAATTGCATACAATATAGATAAATAAATAAAGTTTATATATTATTTTTTTAATTCTCTATAAATTCTATACGTATAGAATAACATATAAATAAATATTAATTTCATGTAAGGTGCACCCTTTATCTACCGCGCATCTTGATCATATTAACTTTTATTAATTCTTTAATTGTAAATGTATATACTATATTTTTAATTCCTCACTTTCCTTCATTTTTCATTATTTAATAAATATTTTTCTTAAAATGATAATGATATATTTTTCCAAGAGATATAAATAATGAAATCTGTTATTTAGACGGTATTGTCAAAAAATATAATTTTCATGATCTAAAAAAAAAAAAAAAGGAATGAAGCATTTGAAAAAAAACTTGTATGGATATGTTTAAATAACTGAACCATTATTAATAATACATTACATTAAATACGTCTAAGCCAAAAAAAAAGTAGATACAATAAGAATACATTTTCACAAGCTTATAATTAATTTTTTACACCCTTCTAGGTTTCAGTTAACTGCATCACGTTGATAATAAATTAATTCAAATTAATATTAAAGCGATTAATACTGATTGGCATTAACTTATCTTCGTTTTTAAAAAATAAATTTAGAATTACCTTTATCGTACATCAATAATAAAGTTAAACCAAAGTATAAATACCAAAGGTTAGCTCAAATCAATTTAATCAGTATAAACCTTCTAAGACGATAAAATGAAAATGTGAAACATTTTTCAATCTCTAACATTAAATTGAACACATGAAGGACATAAATATTATGAGTCATTGAGTGTTTAAATATAATTTAAATATTTGTATTAAGAGATATTCCTCTTTTAATTTGACAATTGATAAATTGTGAGTGCTACTCCAGTAAATATAATATCTTACATGGTAAATATGTCTCCATAAATTCTAAGCAGAAGGATGAAAAACACAATAACTCAATATTCGATAATAAAAAAAAATGAGCTATTGTTTGAAAATAGTTAATTCATCTGCGAAATGCAAGAGTGAACTAGTTTGGTATAGGTCTGATGGGCCACTACTCAGATACCTGTTTGATCAAGATGGGGATTGTTTGGGCTTAGGTGGTAAAAGCGTGGTCTAGGGTGGGTTTGGTGGGTAACCTGTTGGTAAGGCTTGTGAGTAGTGGAGTCTGTTAATGTGCGGGCAAGGTGGGGTAGGTATTCTATTCGGTCTCCATTGAGATCCCCATGTTTAGATATGGTGCAGTTGTGGTTGTAACTTTGGTGCGGGTTGCGGTTGGGATTGAATGGGGGGGTATGTGTGGGCTAAGCGGGGATGTAGGGAGGCATGGGAAGGGGGCGGGTTACGTGTGGGGGTTTTGGGCAAGTTGGTGGGCCTGCTGATTAGTGTAAACTATGTCTGTGTAGGAAGTCCAGAGGGTAATGGGATGTCTTCAGGGGGGGCCTAATAGTATTGGGTTTTATTATACTTTTGGGGTCTGGATTAAGCGGATAAGATGATGTATTTCAGGACCGGTTGTCATCAGCTTCGTAAATATTAGTGGTGAGGGATCAGCGTGGATGTTGCGGCGTTTTGGGGGGGCGGGATTTTACGGGATTGGTGGTCGATGGGTTTTCGGGAATGATGTTCAGGTTGGATGATTGCGTTTGAGGGGGTTATGATATTGTGCGTCTGTGTCTGTCACTGGTTTACATGTCCGGGTGGAGTGTTTAGTAACGGAGGAAGTTAGAATCATGAACACAACGCTTGTTGGGGGACTACCCATTGGTTGCACACGAGTCACTCCGTTCTACGTTCAGGAGTATCACAGCCTTCTTCTTTGCTCAGTCGCCTCGAGATCGGTCTAAATCAAACTTCCCCCCCCCCCCCACGAATCGAAGAAGAGGAAGCAAGGTTAGAAACAAGATTTTAAATTTTAAACTTGAATTATAATTTTAATGATATACACTAGGCTCTCATGCGATTGTTTCTAAAACATGCACTAAAGAATATTATATATACATATACTAAAAAATATAATAAAAACCTACAAATTATTTCTAAATGGTTTATTAGTAACATTACCTTGCTAGTAACAAAGATTCATTAGTAATTTGCTAAAACAAAATAGCATTACTTCATTTACACATTAAAAAAAAATTCAAAACAAATTATATAACCTTTGAACTAGAACATATAAAAACATCTAGAGACCATATCTTTGCTCCAAATTGTCTGAATTTTAACGATATTTTATAAACTTTTAAATAAATATATATTTACAATATCAACAAAAAAGTGTATAATTTTTGAGTTATTCGGAATCTAATTTGACCACCCCTCGTAACTTTTTTGTGATTGGAACATCTTCATGACGAATAAAGGATCTTATTGCTACTGATAGAGCAAAAGATTGTACGTAACATTTTTCCATGTTTATTTCTTTCAACATTAACATGTTGAAGTTTGCTTCTTCAATAAGGAATCGGATACTATTGAAAATAGCTGAGAGAAATAGAATATGAAATTATATTAATACATCATAAAAAAATTATCAGCTTTTTTATACCTTATTCTGCTATAATCATTCAATTTTTACATAATAACTTTTTGACTGCGAGTAGCGATATTATTGGTCTCATATCAAAGAAAGAAACATGTAATTTTTAAAAAAATAATGAAAAAAAGCCACTTGTTGCATACAGAGCACCAATTTTAACCAGTTATAATGATTTTTTCCATGATTCGACTCGAATATCTCTAAATAAAATAATCAGAAACAGTTTTAAGTTGAACCAATAAAAAAAAAAATTGACTTTTTTTTCCATTATCTAAAAACTACAGATGACCGATATGAGGTCATTCATATGTTGCCCATTGAAAAATGTGTTGTCTAAAACCAAGTCCGGTATGATTAAAAGTTCGTAAAAGTTTCATAACTGTTTTCCTATGTACCTACAAATGATATTAACAGAAAGACGTAATAACAAATTTTCTTGATTAGTGGATGAGTACAAAGAGTATTTGTGTGAAAAAGTATTTTCTTATAATTTGCTGATTTTTCATCTGTTTCATATTACTTTTCATCTTGTTTTCCAATGAAATTTTATTTTTCCCCATAGCAATATTGGAAACTGCATTGTGATATTCAAACAAAAAATGTAACAGGAAAAATGTGAAGGGAAGGATATCGAATAGCATATGCTCGTTTTTCGTCGTGAAATTCTTTAGTGTTACATATTAGTGATACTCGTGTGAAGACACATATTGAATGCTGAATCAAACTTTTAAATTTAAAATAGTATTTTTTTTGTAAGCCAAGCCTTGTGACAAGGAAACATAACCTCCAGATACTACGCCAAAAGAGGCACAATATACGAGAAAATAAAAAGTCATCTTGGCCCCTAGAATGCTGCTGTGAAGTAACTAAAGAAAATCAATATTACAGATAAAATCGGATCAAGATAAGAAAGAAATGATTACAAGTCATCTAATTATGAAGATAATTAAGATGAATTGCAAGCAGCAAAAATTATATTTGACAAGGATGATTTAAACGAGGCTATTTGAGGATTGAATGTAAGACCACTAAATCTAAAGACTTAAGAGTAAAAATAAATTAAAATGAAGCTCAAACACGAAAAGTTGACAAGGAAATGTTATTCATTTTTTTAAAGTAAAAAAAAAAATAAAAGATCTTGATTTGTTAGTGCTGTGAAGGGAAAAAACTCAGTATAGAAATATTAACAATAACTCCAAATGGCGTAGGGTTTGGGTGTATTAGACTACTTAGTGCAAAAATATTGAGGTCAAAAAAGTGAAAAAGGTATTATAGCTTTACTATAACCGAAACAAGACACTTTTAACAAAACGACAACTTTCCATATGTGGCGTTGGAAACTAAAGATAACATTAACATAAAAAAAAAGTAAACAATACCTGAAACACACATAGCATCTTGTGAATAATTGCGAATTATTCATTGTTTTAAAGGAAAGATATACAAATCTTAAAATAAGATTATCTAAGTTTTGTCCATTATATCGAAATGGTATGTATTGTATGGTTCACCTTAGTGAAGGGAAAAACATTATATACTGAAAAATGAACTACGATTGCCACATCACAACAGGCGTATGATTGAGGCATTCACTTTGGGGACTCTTACTGTAATAAACTTTACAATTTTTACAATCTATCCTGTAAATGATATAATGTTATAATTAATTAATGATATAATTCTCATCTGATAGTCCGTAAAATGTATAGAACAAGGGAGAAATAATAAATATATAAGTTAAACAATGTTAATAAAAAAAATATTTTTTTTTTGCAGTTATTAACAAACATTTATTAAAAAAGAGGGAAGAGATGTTCCAGGACAGCGGTGAAAAAATTACTTCGAAGTAGTGAGTTAGGTCCTAGGAGTGGGGAAATGTAGTTTATGCGAACTATAATTTACGGAAACAATAGTTAAAAAAAACTATTCAAAACTATAGATCCCAAAGTAAACGGACTCAACTCTTATCGAACTAGTTCTTCACGAACTACCCATCACTAGTTCACCAGGCACCCATTGTGTATGCGAATGCTTATACCAAAAAAATTTGGAGCTCCTAGTTTATGAAAAGGATCAGCTGGAGAGAAAAAAATTGTCCATAATACGATAGAAAAATTAGTTTTTGGTATGATTTGTTGACGAGGAAGATATACAATCTTCGAAATGGATGAGTGATGGCCATAAGAAATTAAACAAATATGCTTCTTTCTTTCAATGACATACCCGTTGTGATACGCCATCTCTGCAAAATCCCGTATAGCCGAAAGGCAAGGCAGGGAGTAATAAATGAATAAATAAAGCTTGTTCAACTCCCATCACTAAAGCTCGACTTGGAAATGTTTGTAAATGTTGCTTGAAAGTGGAAGGAGAGAAATGGATTGTGATTGCTTCCCCAATGTTCGCTTTTATGATCGGGTTTAAGGCAAGAAGGCAAGAGCTGAGAATTGGCACTTCCGATATTCCCTTGTCAAAAACAAGAGGCTCCAACGTGACCACTCTACAGACCGTCCCAGTGTCTGAGTATGGATTGAACCAAGGTCATGGGGTCTTGCTGGAAGGGGTCACTTATCCACCTAATCTGAAATCCATGATGGCTCAGAGTTTGGGGCCTATGACATCTGTGATCATGCTTTCCAGGAGTGCAGGTGGGATATATTCCAATAAATGGGAAGAAGCAGTAACTAGAGATTTCATGAACTTTCCAGACATATCTCAGTGTGTCGCTCTCATCAAAGGAAATTCTCCAAGTGCCTCAAGGCAACTGTTTAGAGTAATGGCAGACATCCTATTAATTACTGGGTCCAGGTGTGCAAACAGGATGTTCTTCCCTGGGTTTTGTCTGATATCAGCTCTACTACATACAGACACAATAGCTTCCGTCCTAAATGCAGACGAGAACAATGGAGTCCTGTCAACAATCACTGTAACAGCATCTGAGATCAAATGGGAAGAAGAGTTGTCTTTCTCAGGGACCATGGGTTTCGAAATCTACCAGAAAGTGGCTGATTGCACTTGGTCTCTCAATACTCCAAGTACCTGCAATGACCCTGAATGGTAAAACAAATTTTCTTTCATGCAATTTTTGGCACTTACAAGGAAGATCTAGGCATATTAAGGTGGATGATAGATGGAAAACCAACTTTCTTCAATAGGAAGCAATTAAGTGCAGCTTTCGGAAAATCAGAAAAAAGGATCAGCTTCAAACCTTACAAATAAATAAATTAAAAAAAAAACAACAAGTTTTTTTTAAATTGCACTCAATCACTATTTTATTCAAGTTCCCATTGTTATTCACTTTTTTTTGTATTACGAGAAACAATATGAATGGAACAAGACCATTTTACGCCGCCTAAAATTTAAATAGTGACAACCGAGAAAACAAGTAATACAACTGTTATTTTATGCTAATGTCCAAGGATTGAAATTTGGTTAATGATATTTGACACATCACATTTTAGCTGTGACTTAAAAAGACGTTACCTTATCTTACACTCACAGCCAGAAACTCCTTCGATACAAGTTTTTCGTGACAACGTGTATGCATTATGTAAATAACAAATTAGCAATGTCAACTTGATTGCTTCTATTTCCATTCTTACTAGCGAAGCAGTAGTGAAACCCAATTGACCTAGATACTATCTAGACATTACATTAGGTATTTCCTAACGTACATGTTCCGATAATTATAGTTAACTAGTTGAAATTATTATTTTGTTAAAACAAACTGTCACCTGTGTACAATTAAATATATGTTCTAATTGAAAATAAAAAATGATATTCATTATACACGATAAATCATGAACTATTTTACAAACTAAGAAATTTAATTCTATATTAAATCCGGACCGGTTCGTGATTGGAACATCTCAATGACGAATAAAGGAATTTATTGCTACTGACAGAGCAAAAGATTGTACGTAACATTTTTTCATGTTTATTTCTTTTGTGCTAACGTTAACATGTTGAAGTTTGCTTCTTCAATAAGGAATCTGATACTATTGAAAACAGCTGAGAGAAATAGAATATGAAATTATATTAATACATCATAAATAAATTATCAGCTTTTTTATTCCTTACTCTGCTATAATCACTTAATTTTTACATAATAACTTTTTGACTGCGAGTAGCGATATTATTGGTCTCATATCAAAGAAATACACATGTAATTAAAAAAAAAAAAAATGGAAAAAAAGCCACTTTTTGCATACAGAGCACACATTTTAATCAGTTATAATGATTTTTTTCCCATGATTCGACTCTAATATCTCTAAATAAAATAATCAGAAACAGTTTTAAGTTGAACCAATTAAAAACAAAATTGACTTTTTTTTCACTATCTAAAAACTACAGATGACCGATATGAGGTCATTGATATGTTGCCCATTGAAAAATGTGTTGTCTAAAACCAAGTCCAATATGATTAAAATTTCGTAAAAGTTTCATAACTGTTTTCCTACGTACCTACAAATAATATTAACAGAAAGACGTAATAACAAAATTTCTTGATTAGTGGATGAGTACAAAGAGTATTTGTATGAAGAAGTATTTTCTTATAATTTGCTGATTTTTCATCTGTTTCATATTACTTTTCATCTTGTTTTCCAATGAAATTTTATTTTTCCCCATAGCAATTTTGAAAACTGCATTGTGATATTCAAACAAAAAATGTAACAGAAACTAAAATAATCAGAAAGCATTATTAAATAAACTTACAAAAATCTCTAAAGAAGGAGTTGTTTGGAGATATTTATGAATTTTTTTCAAGGATTTCAATCCCTTTATTTAAATCTTCTTGGAGACAGAAGTTTTCTTATTATTATGCGTAAAAATAAAATAAATTGATAGAATAAATTTCAGAGTTAACAGTAAAAACTTTTATATTTAAGTATAATATGTATTTATATATATAAATATATAGCCATTGTAAATGACAATAAATTTCTTTAAAATAAGTAAAAAAATCATCCTTAGAATAGTATCAGGGAAGAGTACACACACACACACACACACACACACACATATATATATATATATATATATATATATATATATATATATATATAACTTATTGTCGTTAACACAATAAATTGGTTAAATAAAAAGTTTACCTAGTTTACATTTGGAAATATTTTGTTTTTCTTTTAGCTACGTGCTGGAAATTCACTTTTCCGTAAAGTGAATTCCGTAAAGGAAATTCACTGTCCCGTAAAGTAAGATGTTTATAAACTTATTAACACATAATGAATAATAATTGCCTATCTAGTTATAGAAATTCTACAATATAGAATAAAAATGTAAACACAAAAATACGAGAAAATAAAACATTGTTTACCTATCTACACGTTAAAGAAGTTTTAAAATGTTCTTCCATCGTAAAAATAGCCAAATTAATTATAAATTATAAATTAATCGATGAAGGAAAAAGGATTTTATTTATTAATTTTAATTAAACTAATTTATTATCATAATTAAACTAATTATACTAATTTACGCTAGGAAGGTATATTAAAAATTATATATACAGGATTTTTCATGGATAAGTGGCCAAACTACAAAATTGAACTAAGGACTTCAAAACTAGAAAAAAATTTCCTCTGAAGATATGTCAGCAAACGCTTTGTTTAGGAGATATTCCCACCTGAAGATCTTAGCTGTTATGAATTATTTACATCATACGAAATAAATAAAATCTATTTACTTGTTCTAACTACTTTATTAATCGAATTTAAACATTAAAATTCATATTAAATGTTGTTCAAAGTGATTTCCTATTTCCTAGTTTCTTATCGAATTCCATAGTAATTCTTACAGATAAATAAAACCAGATGTTTATAAACAAAATTAAATTACAAGTATTGAGGAGAAGCAAAGGGCGAACAAACGGATCGAGAATATTTGTACACATTTTTAAGGTAGAGGAAAATAATAATGGACAGGAGGAAATTTCCGAAAACAGATCTCTAAGAATTCATTAAATTACACGTTATTATTTATGCGTTAAAAAACATAACTTGTAACCAACAATATAACTGTTTGTCCTTAAAGATCCTATGATCTTTACTTTACTGGTATAGCGTAGTTAGCAAAGTACTCTGCTATATAGGAGTCCTAATTAATATTATTTTATATAAAATCATTTTATCTTCTGTTTCAAATATATATTCCTTATCTATATGACTAACTAATGGAGGCTTAGAAGTTGAAAACATCATTGTAACAACAGGCTAGTAAAAAAAAAAAATATGAAACAAAATTTTATGAATTTGATACATCAGACAGGCCTAAGATTTTTTGGTTAGTTGCAGTTCGTCATTAAGTTATCATATTCATAATTTTAAAAACAACTAAAGTCCCTAATTAGTGGTATATACATTTCAATTATAATCTATCCTTGTTAAATTTGGTATCTTGAAGCTTGGTGATAAGTATTAACTAATAATTAAAAATTAATCAATGTTTTGCACCCTATCTGTCAAACTAAATGAGTGAACTATCACTCTCCCATATTTTTAATCAAAATAAATAGAAACAATTTAATTTTCTATCAAATCTCTAAAAATTCATTAAATTACACGTTATTATTTATGCGTTAAAAAACATAACTTGTAACTAACAATATAACTGTTTGTCCTTTACAGGGCGTAAGTTCTTAAATGTCCAACGTGTCTTCCTCTAAAGGACCTTTAATTTGGTTTATTTTAAATAACTAACCATCTCTCATTATCAGAGTTACGAAAAAAAAAAATAAAATTTTTGATAATTAAAAAATGGAGAAAAAAACAAAATGTTCATTTAGGTCGAAAATGAATTGCCAGAAATACTAGTCAGAAGGTGTGCGTATAATATATAGTCGGAAAAAACACTATCTAATATAGAAAGTCGTAGAAAATAATAGAGAGTGACGAAAAATTAAAAACAATAATTTCTAAAAATAACATTATTTCCTTCCATAAAATCATGTTTACATTCATATATTTTTATAATTTTAATCAAATTCATTTTTTAGAGTTTTAAAGAACGCTAGATATAATACTGAATAATTTTCTTAACAATCATTTATTTGCCTCCTTTATTGCAAGCGCTTAATGGTTTTCGTAATTTATTGTACATTTGAATTCGTTTAATACAATCAGCAATATGTTTTTCTTATTTTACGGGGGGAGGGAGGGAAAGAGGTGTATAACCTAGAAATCCATACAAAGAAAAAGTAGAAAATAATGATTCATAATTGGTAATTGGTTGACTGTCGTGGATAATGAAGAGAAGAATAATTGGGGTGCTCAGTCAAAAAAGTTCGTAGAAAATAATGATTTAAAAACATATTAAAAATGTATAAAACCTTTTTCTCCTCGGTTCTTAATATTTGTCGACCTAAAATCACCAAGAAAAATTTCATTGAAGTTGGTGATCCCGTGTCCGTAATTTTCTATTGTAAGTTTCCAAAATAGTTTTATATTTACGTCTGAAAAAACTATAAACTATGTTCTTTATATAGTTCATAGCTGCATGCCCTTTTCTAAGCCGTTAGGTAATTTTATTCTTGCATCGTGAGTAAGAGGCAGGCAGTGAGGAACCTATAACTGCCATGCTCGCCACGAAACGATGTGACTATTAATGCTTATCGAGACAGGCCGTGGAGTGTGAACAGGCTACACCTCTCCTCCAATGGGTTTTCTTTTTTCCTCCTCAGGCACGTACTAATATAATCATCCACATCGTCTTTTAATAGCTTGACTCGGAGGTGCTAGAAATTAATTACCTTCTTGGGTAATAGCGAGGAGCTCTACGATCAGTAATTCCTGGAGAAAAAAAAATAAGAAAAAACTTTCGAAACGTCTAACATAGAGCACTGCATAATATCAACTTTCGTCCGCTGTACGTGTTTTTATTCCAATGTTTTACGCATAGTTACGGAATGGACTTAATCCGTAACAAATATTAATAATGATAATATTAATTTAACTTTTAATAATATATAACTTAATATTCAATATGCCAATCATAATGCACAAAGCCCTACATAGCCAGGTCAAGCTATCTCTGATAGCTTAGAAATAG